GTTGCTCAGCATATTTAGCTAAAATAGTACATAGGGTCCGATTAAAACGTTCAGTTAATCCATTTGTTTGGGGTGATAGGGTGAAGAGAGTCAATGTTTTGTTCCAATAACATGTAATAATGCAGCTATTAATTCATTTTGAAATGACGTAACTCTATCAGTTAAGATTTCCTTTGGAGTCCCATGTCTACACACGATTTCTTAAAAAATAAACTGTGCTGTTGTTTGTGCAGTACAGTCAGGTAAAGCAGCAGCTTCAGCCCATTTAGTGAGATACTCTGTGGCAACAATGATGTATCTATTACCTTGCTTAGTTTGTGATAGTGGTCCTATGTAATCAATTCCAATTCGATCGAAAGGTTGCCCAACCGAAATTAGGTGTAAAGGCTCTTGGGGGAGGGCCAGAAATGACATCATTCTATAAGGGGGGAGGGGGGAGTGCCCATGATGACGTTACATGAGTCCATTTTAAGAAAGAGATTTGTGCCAACCATCCGCATCATAAATTTACTGCGTGTCGCGTTTAATTAAACTAATTTAAACTGTTACAATTTAATGCTATATGTTTTAATGTTACAATTTAATGCTTTTTAGTATCACAACTGGTCATAAGGTTTTTTAGTATTACAATTAGCTTTAAAAAAAATCATCTCGCTTTAATCTTTATTTTAAAAATGTAAGAATTTCACGCTTTATATTAAAAATGGAGGAATTTTTTTCTTACGTTTGTTGCGTTGCAGATTTCTTTTTATCTTTATGATGAAACAAACATATTTTCGAGAAAACAAATACTCTAAGAGTTACCTTGTTTTGAAGCCACAAAACCTTTATAAACAGTATGTTAACGCTTTTGCGTTTTCAGTAATGGTAAAAGCCATAATATTGCTTCTAACAAAAAGGAGCTCCAGCTTCAAGCACAAAATAATTGGCGAGAAATCAAAAAAAACAGTAAAGATAATATTGAAAGCCTTATTTTCGAATTATTAAGGACACCTATTCAACCTTCCCCTTTTACTTTTTTTTCACAATCTTCACGGTGGAACTCTATAGTTGAATCTTCAACATCCCTTCCGGAAACTCTTCCAAATACCCCTAATAATACACAACTTCCACCTAACGCATTGGTACAAAGACAATTGAATACTATTATTCAAAAAACTAAGGCCGAAATATATGAATATACCAGGTTATCACAAGTAGCGACGTCACCGGAACTTCGCTCAAAATTTTTTTTAAAGACTAAAAAGCTTGAGGAGACTATATTGATAGGGGAAGATAAGCTTAAGCGATTGAAGGGCAATGCGGCAGCTCAAAAATGAGCTCAGAAAAAAAAGCGGCAAATGTTAGAAAAGGAGAATATTGTGGAAATATATGATACACCAGGTCGGCCGTCATATTTGATGAAGGATTTTAATCTCTTGGAAAAGATGCATAGCAGCATCAAGTTTGGAGTTGCAGATCACAAACGACGTAAGGAGGTAATCAAAGTACGAACAATTAAACACCTCCGTGAAAAGTTGGAAGAGGACTATAATGTATATATGTCAAAATCTACATTGCAAAATTATATGCAACCTTGACATCCGGGATCAAAGGAAGCACAACGACATCATCATCCTGCACAGATATGCTTGGCAGCTGTTGGGAAAAATGAAATGAATGATCATGCTGATGAACATTATTGCCTAGCATCAGTCAAAGGTATAAAATCGTTTGTATCGGCTTACTCGCAAAATATTGTTCTAATTTCACAGGACGATAAGGCTAAGGTAAATTTAATCTATAATTTTATTAATTTGATAGTTGTATCTATGATGTAAATGATCATTAATCATTAATAAATAAATTTGAATTGTTTATTATTAGGTTCCCCTAGGTATTGCTACGGTCGGAAAAACATTTAAAGCAATACAAACATCAAATAAATCTGTATCTGTTTCTGACCATGATTTTCCGGTGAACTTTAAACATAAATTGATACCATCCGTTTACTTGTTAATTAATCCTAGAGATACAAATGATTCTTTAAATTCTGGCAAAATGCGAATTTTTATTCGCCCTGAATACTTTTTGGGTACTTCATGTGAAACTCACATGATTGATCTCATAAAAATTACAGAAGAGGAGTCTTTTCGCGAGTTTACGCATTATGAAGATTCAGTGAAACCTATTTGATGTCTACTAACAGATGGTAGACCTGATGAAAACCCTCGATTTCTTGCAAATATTATGAAATATTTGCTTATTTTTAAAAAGCTTGATTTAGATTACCTTACGGTGCAAACACATGCGCCAGGGCAATCAGCATATAACCCAGTAGAACGAAGCATGTTATCATTATCTAGCAAGTTAGCAGGTATCATATTGAATGCTTTTAATGATGGAAAACACCTTGGCAATGTGAATGGGCAAATTTCTATGATCGATGAGGAACTCGGCCGTAAAAACTTTAAACATGCTGGTGAGCATCTTTGTGAATTTTGGAACCGTGATCCCATCAATGAACGACCAGTTGTTACTTCATATGTTGAAAACCATGATCATACTGTATTTTCGGATATTGAAGAAGGAACGTGGGATTGGATCGATCGTCATTCGCAAATTTGTAAATATTCTCTCGATTTGCGAAAATGTAATGATCAGAGTTGTTGTGAACCACCGCGAGCACCTGATGCTTTTGAACTACTATCACTAAATAATGGCTTTCTTCCTCCCATTGTACAAGGACAAGACAAGCACTTTCTTAATCTATTGCACACATTAGAATACTTTGGTGATCGGCTTCCTGGTTATGATAAGCATTGCCTAAGCATTTCGCCTGAATTGTATCAAGAACTTGTGTGCCAAAAGTGTGAAAAGTATTTTCCAACGAAGGCATTTATGAAAATGCATGTCAAGACCATGCATTTAAGTGAAAGAGGAAAAAGAGCACAGGTAACTCAAGACGGATAATCTATGATTCCAGTAGGAAATAATAATGTATTGAAAGAGTCAGCGGATTGTGGGGATGTGTGGATCAATCTATTAGATCTATTAGCCAAAGAGATAAAATCACAACTACGCAACGTATAAGTAGTGGTGGGCATAAAAGAGATGGAGTAAAGAATTCACAGCCTTGGGATCAGGATCATCTTATGTTTCAAATCAACTTTAGTGATATGTAATGATTCTTTGAAATAAAATTATTTGACTCAAGTTTTAAATAAAATTGATAAAATTGCTTTATCAGATTCATGTAAACCATATAAAATAAATGGCCTGAAAGGTTGCGGAACTTATTATATAAATTTAAATTTAATAAATTAAACTTTTAATTTTATGATCAAAGCTAAAATTATTGTCACGTGATTAAACTATATGATTTTCTTATTTGATTTTATGACAAGGGGGGGGAGGAAATCCCAAAAAATCAAATGATATCATTTCTAGCCCTCCCCTAAGACCTGAACTAATTGGGTCATTATCGATAGTAACTTCACAGGTTACTTCACAGTTTTCAAGAAATGACAAAAATTCACCAATTAATGCATTGGCTATAGTAACTGTGGAGTTATCAGCGATTACCCGTGAAGTAACGATATAATTATTTGGCCTCCTGATTATTATAAAATATTATTTTAAATATTATTCTTTTTTTCTTTCTCGCTTTATATCATTTAATCTCAATACAACTGCATTTTTTTTAAACCTTTTTTTTATAATAAATAAAATCTAATTATTTTATTATTTAGCCTATTACTGTAAATATAATGAACCTAGTGATATGATATATAAGCAATTTATTAATTGGAAGAAATTGAAAATAAAATTGATCAATGCATATAATCAAGGTTCTTTATTTAAAGTATATATAATTATTAAACTTTTTAATATCATGATCGAAGTTTAAATAGACTATCATCCGTGACAAATTATACCTTCAAAAACTACGTGATATTATAAATGGTTGACTTTATAGTAAATTTTCATATACAATATAATACTTTATTTTAATTTTATAATTTACATATAAAAAATAAACTTGATTATACGTGCTAGCCATGTATAAATTTGAATAATTAAATTTTTTTTTCGAATAATATGTAAATTTTTCTTTTTTTTAAAATCTAAGTTATTAAATTATTTATGATCGAACTTTTCACGTGATATTTTTCTGTTACCAATGTCACATCTCTTTCGCGTTTTATTTTTACTAAGCTAGTTAAAAATCTATTAGTCACGTCCTATTGGGATGGTAATTATATGTACTCCCTATAAAATTTACTATTGATCTAATTTTCATAACCTTCATATTAAAATTGAATTTATTAAGAAGTTTTCTAATAAATTGATACTTCCATAACTTTGAATTCTTCTTTGATTTTTCTTTTAAATTCTGCAAACATATTCAAAAATAAGTATTTTTTCATGTGACTTTTTTTTCCAAAAAAAAAGATCACAATTTGGTAATAATAAAGAATTACTTTAGAAAACTATTTTCTTATCATATGTATTTTCAAAAATGAGGTATTCTGTTATACTTAAAGTTATTATGCATAGAGCTTAATTTTTAAAGTATTTTTAATTAAATTAGATTATTACTTAATTAAAAATTTTCAATTATAAATTAGGCCAGACCAAGTAGATTATCTGTTTAACATTATCATATAAGGCTCATAACCTAGGAGGGGGGAGGTTAATTAACAACAATAACAACTTGAACATCACATGATATTCATTATAAATTTTATTAAGCTTGACTGAACTTCTTGTTTATTTATTACTATTATTAATCTGTATTACTAAAACTTCTTTTTTTACCTCCAGTTTTCTTATTTGTTTTAATTTCAATTCTGCAAAAAAAATCCTTTCCTTTTTCTAAACACCAACAACAACATGGAAATACAAACTTATAGTTGGATGTTTTATCAATAAGAGGATCAACAAAACCACCATCAACTCTGCACCAATAACAGTTTGTGAATTATAATTACTTCAACGTAAAATAGAAGAATAATAAGCTAATTCAATAGGTGTTTTGCAAGTAATCTTTTACGTATAAAAACTTTAGTGTAGAATTCATGATCCTCTTCAACTAATAAAGCATCACAGCTATAATTTATTTCTTCTTTTATAGAATATAACTCCTTTTTTTCATTAGTATTTAAAGCTTAATTATTAAATACACAGCGAAGTTTACCACATTAGAAGCATTTAATATAATCACACACTTTGGTATTTACAAAAAGTCCGTTTGATGTCCATTCTGCTAATTTCATAGCTTGCATTAATGTAGGACAGTGATCTTCAGTTGTTGCATTATGATACACTGTATGAAAGTCAGCATAATGATCATTATTTTCTATAAAAATTGATAAATAATTTTTATATTAATAAAAATTTGTTTAAATTATAAA